TCATTTAATAAGCTTATTTTATTTTGTTAATTTCACCAACTTATATTGACAATTTTTTATCCCTTGACATCGTGTTTTAAAAGAATGACAGCTCCATTATTTTGAGCATGTACATCGCAATGATCCCGATGATTTCATACGATGTAAATCTTGTGAACATTTTCAAAAACCCGAAATAAAATCCGATTTCATTTCGACCCAATTTCTCGATGAAAATCATTAGCTATTAATAATAGATTTAAATCAATATTAAGACAAACATATAAACATTAATATAAAACTATTTTTAAAAAGTATAACCATTTAGAAAATTAAATACATAAACTGTCTAAAATAATATTTACCCAGCAAAGTTTTATGTAATTTACATAATAAATGTTATTTGCTTTGTTTATTATAAAGTATAATTCAATAATAAGCTATTTCTTATAAATTATAATTTGAACTAGAGTAATCTACACTTAAAATGTAAAATGCAAAAATGTAAAATACATTAAGTGATCTAAAAAATAATGAATACCTTGTATCTATTTGTAATAGAGTTTGTATTAACAATAAGCGACAAATTATTCATTGCTTTATACGTACGAAACGCCTCATGAGATACATTGGAAACTGCACTCAAATATATGATCATAACCACAGTTACCAAGACCAATAAATAAACAAATATGAGCCGGGGAAATATAGACAACTTAGAGAATAGTACCGAGAATAGTATACTATTAGACAGTGTTATGAATAGTGTTAAGTAGACCACAGAATATGATGAGAAGAATATTCTGTTGTATTCGCGAATCTCTGCGTGAATGTCATCCAAAGCCTTAACAATATAGTGAACGTACTTATCGTTGGTTATGCCCACCGATCGTACCATTATGTTAAGCTTCCGAGTAGTCTGCCGTAACTTAGCTTGGTGATAGTAACACAGTATAAAGAAATAGGCATGCGACCAGTGGTCAGTATTATACGCGTAGTGTATACCCCAGGTATTAATCACTGACCAGAATATTCCGTACGTTAATAACTCACTCCATGTCATGAACATGACCATAGGCGTAGTTATCAGGATACATATGACAGTTGCAATGACTTTCTCATTAATTTCGGTGTATTTAAACAAATACTTTGCTTTTCGGACCAACGACTCAATCTCTCGGACATCTGTCAGGCCTACCGATGCCGGGGAACGCCTACCGGCGAGCATATGAAACGGTGCTAAAAACGTGGGATAAATACCCTGGTAGTACATACGCCAGAATAGTAGTTGAGTGCCTACTGCTAGTAGGAAATATGTACCAGCACCAAAGTTGAGCTGTGTTTTAACGTCGAAAAATGCGGCAAAATCAGCAAGGTATATATCCCATTGTTTACCGTATTGACTCGGTATGAGCAGGGGTACTGCAAAACGTACGGTGTTTATGGAAACTAATGTTAACATTAGAACCGGATTATGAAACAAGGTCCTTTCCTTATTGCCCATTTTATGCAGTGATATACCCCGGGTGTATAAGTGGTTACCTGATTCTGGTTGCCGCAGCTGTTTAGGCAGTAGTTGAACTGGGTTAATTGCACTGTCACTCATATTTGTTTGAAATAGTAGTATTCACTTTTAAGTCAATAGGTTTAAACAAGTACAATAATATTTAGTATTATAGCATTATTTACGTATGATTATTTAATTTATTTATAATTAGTCTTAACAATGATTTTTGCTAACAAATAGACGGCAAATATGTTATATTATACTAATATTTATAGCATTGATCTAGGTACCAAATGTACTTAAAATATTATTTATTTAAAATATACATTTAAAATTAAGACTTAAGACTAAATTTTTCGTTGCAATTGTGGAATAATTATATTTTTTGGTAAACAGAGCTATAAATCATATAATAATCTATATTTAATGACACTTTTATTATGAAATTCTGTGATTATTTATAATTTAGAATATTTTAATGATTATAATGTATTGATTTATTTGACACAATTAGTGTACACTATTTCCTATTTAAATCATTATTTCTGTATTTCTTATAAAACTATTATGAAATATACTAAATAAACCTATTTTATTGTGATTTTTATGCAAAAATATTACAGTCCAGTGATAATTTTGCTAAAATGTCCAGGAAATATTGTTTACATTTTCCAAGTATTTTTTAAATTATTATTTATGAAATTCAAATGAAAATTAAATATACACTCTGTTTAGTATTGGTTTGAAGTATAAAAATAATTTACTTTTAATATTACGTTTTAAGATAATAGGCTTAAAGACTTTATTAAGCTATACTGCAATATTTAGATAAATGTTATGTTATAAACACTTTTATAAATAAATATCCTAGTATTATTCACTATAATTTATATTATATTAATATATAGATTAATCATATCTACAATTTAGAAGGGCTAGGCATTAAAAAATGGTATTGCCAACCTAGTTAGACCGTACTAGATTTTTGGTTATTAATTACCAAGCAATATAATTAAAGTTCTCATGATCCTATTAATTTTTAGAACATTATTTAATATTAATCTATTATATTGCTTATATGAACCCGTTATATTAATCTATTTTATGAACATTATTTATTAAATAAATTGTTTTTAATAAATTTAATAGTGTCACTTGTAGATAATTCAGATAACTGTTAGTATTAGCTTATCTTATATCAGCTACTTACATTATTATTTCATTATTTTTATTCAATAACAAATCACCTTTAAACAAATAATAAAGTGCAGGTATTATAATTTTATTAGTTTGAAATTACATTAAGAGCAAAAATGTTTAAAATATTTAGCCAGTGCTATATATCTATTTTAATTCTCATTGTATTAATCAAAATGAACCTGGTTGTATCTCGTGTTTCATTATACGGATGTGGTTCGTATAGTATTATGAAAAATAATTATCAAAATGTTATCAAAGGTTTTCAAAAAATAGATGACAAACATAAGGAAACGGTAGCCGAGGACATGGTGTTGACAGACGTGTATCGTCCCGACCCCTCAGACCCCACTAAATATAAGTCAGTTTGCGAGGGAAATAAGTGCGATATATTGAAAGATAGCATGCTCATTTTGGACATTCAATTCACGTCAAGTAAGTTAAATATTGTGTCTGGCTTACATATTAATTATGCGCTAATTATCCCAATATAAAATGCTTCAAAATTCATTATTATAAAAATAGCATGCTAATAAAACACATTATTTGCCAATTTTAAATAAAGTGATATGAGGCCTAATAATATGATTAGATCTTTTGAACTATTTGTAAAACCTCATTATAAGCAGAATTCATGCATTGGATTACTATTAGCACGAGTATTAAAAATCTTCTGCTTTTATATAGGCAAAAGGTACTTTTTATATTATCAATGGACATATATCATAATATTGTATAAAAACTATACTAATCCATTAAGATTTGTTAACCTATATTGTTATTAACTAATAATTAAACAAATTATTTATAAATACACCTAGGCGGGGATAGTGACCATGCTGATTTGACATTCACTGTGGAACAGGTGATTGAAAAGAAGTCGATAAACCAGACAATACCCGATCTCAACCCAAATATACTCGATAAACACAACCTAAATGGCTATATCCTACAACCTGGTACTTTGAAGAATGGTTCAAACTACTCGCTTAGATATAAAATACCCTTGATACCCGTGCTTGTTAAATCAGTGAGTGAATTAGTAAAAATAAAATGTTTATATTGTTTAATGAATAAGTGAATTTAATGTTATGTTATTATTATTTGTATGAGCAGGCAAAAATGAATATGACCATGAACATTCGTGGCAACAAAGACGACCTAGCTTGTGGTGTAATGCACGGCTCATTCGTGGATTAATTAATTATAAAATATGCTAATTATATAAACAATAACTGAAATTAATTAATTATAGATTCTATCATAATTTTGCTATACTAATTATTATAAATAAATATTTAAAATATATTCAAGCAATTTTTAATTTTGATGTAATTTAGTTGCCCTATAAATTCATTTGCACAAAACTAAGGTAATGATTTAAGATGATTCTAGGTAAGTTAATGATGAAATCACTTTAAATTAGTTAACCAAGGTGAGTTATCATTTCATAAATAAAATAGTTTTAGATATACAAGTATATAAAATAATCAAATAATTAGACATGTCATGGATAGGACAGGCATTGTATAGCCGGAGTGAAAGGTATCGCAAATAACATTATCTCTATGCCTATTCTCTTGGATGCCTTTCCATTCACTTCACTCAGCATGACTTCCCCCATAAGATGGTTAGCCATACCTATACCATAATTAATGTGTGTGTATGTATGGGTTTGGGGGTTAGGGTTAGGGTTAGGTCTCTGTTAACTACTGACTATAAAAGTGAACGCAATTTAAATAAATAATTATTTGCGTTTAAAAGTTTGATTAGTTTTATGGTTGAAATTTAAATTGAACCCGGCTATTTACACTAGTATAATTACCGGTAAACCTATTCAATAGCCCAACCCTAACCACCTACCTGTGCCTAATACCATAAGTTTGTTAAGTTAATAACAATCTGTTTGCGTGAATAAATCAAATTCCTATTCATTATAATCATAGTCAATTCAAATTACTAAAATATTTGCTAATTTAATATAGCATTACAAACATACAGGTTTAAATTGTATGATTAATATTGTAAAAATTAAAACAAGGTTAAAAACTATGAACTAACATTAACATGATAATAGAGATTATGTATCATTAAATTAATCGCATATTAATTAATTTTGTAAATTGTATTCACATTTATTCAGATAATATAGTAATTAACACATCAATAGTAGTATGCATTTGATTACAGGGATGAGTGAAAGTCAGTCAATTGTATAATTGTGAATAAATTCAACGTCTTATTAAATGACTTATAATTTATTAGGCTATTGATTAGGTGGTCTGATGGCATCAATTTGTCCCGTAAGTTTTGGTTCAGTCGCAACAGTTGATCCCTGGGCGCCAATGTTTGGTCTCCGAGATCTGACTCCTTGTCCTCATCCACATCCTTAGTCTCCTTACACATCCAGATCTTGAACAGAAGGCCTTTTCCATAACAATGGAGAACATCCTATTGGGCTCGTGATCGATGTGATACAGGGGTGCGAGGAGAGGGTCTTTCGACACTTTAGTTGTACTGAAATATCGCCGAATAATGCAATTCCAGGATCTTTTTCTTGAATCCTTAATGCTTTCAATGTGTATATAAATACACATAAGTTTTATCGCATTTATTCATAGTATAACTGCCACTAAAAACAATATGATATTTCTTATGAATTCAGTTTTTTCGGCCTTAAGTTTTGAGAAATAATTTTTGTTGAAAGAGAGAGCTTACAGTTCGTGCAAACTTTTGTGGCTCTCAATCTTAGAGGTGGGCGCCGCCTCTTTGATGTAACCGACGATTTTTCCCACAATTTCATCGCCTAACAGATCCATTGGCTTTGGATAATAGCTGACTATCAGCTTATCCACAGGTTTGGTATACTGTGGGTGTGGGCCGTGACTCAAGTTATAGTCAATAAACAATTAACTGAAGAGTTGATCACAAAAGTGTTGATAAATTGAATGGCAAAATATGGAGGGAAATGGATGCTATGGTAAGCGTATGGATAAAGGATGGAAGGTATCTCTATGTGTGACGTATTGCCTAAACTTTTTTAGTTTACTTTTTGCTACAGTTTTATGGTATATATTACTACGGTTATATATTTTATATTATTTTAAATTTTAATTTGATAATTTTTGGCGTAAATTTTATATTTATTTTTATGAGCATCCGCTCCGAAGCATGACTTACGACTACAGCCGATTTGCGGGTCGGGTCAGCCCTAAGTTGAGCCCGAGTCTAGTACTTGGCAATACCAACACCCCATCGGACATCACTAGACTCATCCATTTGCTGCTATGGGTTCGGAATGTTGTGGAATAAAGAGTAAAACACATGAAAAGTATTGATAAAAATAGTATTAATAGAAGTGATAGTAATTTAAATGATGAGAAATCACATCTTATTTGATAGTTACATACCGGTCCCTGATTGACCCTACTCATCGATCTGGGCATCAACTGGCCCCGGGGTTGACGCAAAGGTCAGTTTCTCGTTTGTGCGACAACTCGACTGCCAAATCACCCCAACTTTCTTGGAGTCGACTGTATAGCCAAAGCAGTGCTATATGTGTTGCGCTCAATACAAACTTGTTGTCCTCAGTGTCCGTACGTTTGCGCTTAATCTTAGGACAGACACAACAATCCCAAACTCAACCATACTCTGTGGTGCACTTGAGTATCGCCTAATTCATTTTTAAATATAAATAAATTATAAACTATATATAAAACAGTGGAAAACTACGTTTACTGGAAAACAAAACAACAATTTATACACAACTATATGATTGTGTGAATGATGAATATAACGAGAAAAATCGCTGCAATTTCACAAAGAGAGAGAATTACGGGCGAAGGGTTACTGGTGTGGCCCATGGAGAAGGGTTACTGGTGTGGCCCATGGAGAAGGGTTACTGGTGTGGCCCATGGAGAAGGGTTACTGGTGTGGCCCATGGAGAACGCGATGAACGTACGAACCCCATCCCCAAGAGTTATGCCACTATCCGGGGAATCTCGAGGCGGTCTGCATGCGACGGCCGGTATGGGCGCTGGGAGATCGGGCGAGGGTTCGGCAGGAGCGCCGGTGAGGCGTCCTATGTCGTATGTCGACGTCCGACTGCGCGAAGAGGGCGGCAAACTTGCCGAAGAATCCGTGGCCCGCGACTGTCCGATGGGTGTGACGGCAGTGATGAGTGCGTCGATCGGCGTTAACACAAAACTACAAAATTTATTAAAATATTATTTATAAATAAGATTAACGTCAGAAATCTGGCCTTTGCGGGGATGCTCTACCCTCGTTTGACCCCTCGGTCCCAATAGTTGCCATTTCTTGCCCGATGTCTGACCCCTTAACAATCACCTCATCTGTCATCCAAACTCTCATCAGAATTTTTTTTGATTTTTATGGAGAACATCCCTTTCCAAACATGGCTTACGACTACAACGGATTTGCGGGTCAGTCCTAAGCTGAGCCCGAGTGTAGTATTTGGAAATAGCCGAGACGGCAAAGGACAACATCCCTGTCCACAGACAGCAAAACATATACCACACGATAACAAATATAATAAATGCAATTTCCAAGATCTTGGAGATGGGGAACGACAGGGGGAATGTGTATGTCAGTCTATTTTAGTACAAAATGGAGGGAAATAGATGCTATACACATCCAGATCTTGAACAAAAAGTCCTTTTCGATGACAAAGGACAACATACCTGTCCACAGACACCAAAACACATACCACACGATCCGCTACAGTACATCCCTGTCCACACATACCAAAACACATACCTGACAAAATTTCAACTTTATATTATGGTGTACAATTTACAATTTATTTATGTTTTAATTATGCACAGAATTTTTATTTTAATGAAAACTATTTATCTCTAACATACCTGTATTCATTTTATTGTATATAATGCAGGTATTTATGTTAAGCTTTATAAATAATAATTTATGTAAAACTAATTAATAAAACATTTATTTAAAATTAATATATCTAGATTATTTATTATTATTATTATAAATATAAATTAATTATCAAAAATAATCTTGATTAACTTTGCTTTCGTATCAAATACACCTAACACGGCATCACTCACATCAACTCGACCTTGCTTAATTTGATCAAGTATAAAATTAAACGCATTTTGTGTCCACTCATAAATCTCATTAATAAATGAGTGTACCTTGCTCCAAAATATTAAATACTGTTCCCGTTCACTTTCACCAAGATGTTCACTTTCAACTAAAACATGACCTCGGTGTTTATCCAATTTAGTACGTGCTTCAGTGAACGCATTACTAAACTCCACTTTGAACAAGCTCACTATTTCATCTATTCTTGGCAATGGTTTAGACCCAGGTCCTTTTGTTTTAGTAATTACCGGTTCAAGAGGTGGAACTGGTATTGAGCTTGGTGTTTCAATGTCAGTGGTTGTAGTTGTATCCAGTTTAGTTTGTTCAGATGGTTCGTTGATAGCAACCTGGTCAGATTGTTGTACAGGTGAGCAAGGTGTTTCAATCTCGTTGTCCACGTATATATTCAAATTATCGGTTGATGATAGTTCTGGAATGACCATGCTTATCGGTGTATCCCATGAATTACTATGAGTGGAGTGGTTGCTTGAATTGTCACCAAGGTCTGTGTGTATATCCACAAAACTGGTCACTGTCTTATCCATCCATACTTTTGCACTGTTTTTAAATAATTCATTATTAGGCCTAATAGCTGACAATGATTGTGCCTTGCTAATATAATATTGTATATCAATGGGCACTGCATTCACTGTAGCTTGGTAAGTTAACTTCATGATTTAATTTTCAAAGATATTTACATTATAGCGAATTCTTATACAGTTAAAATTGACTAAACATAATGTTTAATAAATAATTCATTGAAAATGATTTTTATTATTTTTTATTAAAATAATTTATGTTTTATTATAGTACGACAATTACTAATCACAATGTTTTTATTACAATAATAAACCTAAACCAGTATAAACTAATAAATGACATTTTATAATGCAAATAATGTTTTGTTAAAATCATATAAGTAATTAAGATTTCATAAAAAATTTGTAGTATGTTTTTATTATTGTACAGTATTTATAGTAGTGATAAATATATTTTACAATTAATTTATAAACTTAAACTTGAAATCAAGACTATTAGATAAATAAAGAAGATATTTTAATTGTTTTTAGCTA